CCGCGAGCAGCAAACTACACACTGAACATTTAAAGTTCTGCTGAGGTTTGAATCGTGCAGTAAAGCAGCTGCTTACAGTAAATTCTACGATTTGATCACAGTATTTCCTCCCTGCTGCACATGTTGGTCGGGCCACTGTTGAGAGGACACCTGAGCCTTCATTAGCTCCGCCCATCAGGACTGAGATTGGTTTAAAGAAATACGGACAAGCAGGATCATCTGTGTGAAACACGGTGAACACGACGCCGTTTGAAGACAGCGAAGCACTTTTGAACCATCAGAAAAACATTTGTGCAGATTAATCGACTCCATTCATCTGCGGAGGTTTGAAACTCTGATGGTCTCAGAACATTAGACACAGCAGAGACCGGTCCGTTAGCTGCAGCAGTAACCATCACCTTAAGTAGAAGTTTGCAGCTTTGAATCACTTGAAAAACGACAAAAGAAACTGATGATAGCGCACAGCTAGTAAACGCGGGCTGATTAGCGGCAGAGGTTTGGGCTGCGAGGACACAACAACCAACATTCGGAGCTGAAACGTCACATCCTTCATTGAACGGTTTGAAATGTCAGAATATAGTCTTCAGACAACGTGTGCCAGTGGTAGCTAACGTCATGTTGAATCCTATTTATTGGTCGTGTTACTGTGAAACGTGCAGTGATGTCAGACTCCAACCACACCTGTAGCGACAGACTCACCTCAGAGGGATTGTGGGTAATGCGGTCCCTCAGACTCAGCCTCGTGCCTTCTGTGATGCAGCTCTGTGAATATGCGGCTCAGATGCTCTGAAGATACCTGAAAAGCAGCTCGTCTGTTCAGCTGAGAAAATCTTTTCTTCTGTTTGAGCACTTTTCTTTCTTTTTCGTTGTAGCTTCGACTTCGACCGCAGTTCCACACAGAATCTGAACATCACTGCCTTAAAGCAACTTTCAACATTTAGTGTCACACTGAGGGACGACCTGAAGCAGACGACCACAAACACACAGAAAACTCACTCCGTCGTGGAGTTTGTAGCTCCAACGTCCGGCTCTGTCAGTTAGCCGACATCGTCCGATTAAATAATCTGAATGAAGATATCTGAAAGTAACGAGATCTGATGTTACAAGAGGTTTGTCTTTTATTTATATATTTGTGCCTTAAAATTAAGAAATTGTGTCTTAAATGAAATGTTAACAGTTTCATTCAATGCAGATTTTTATTGTACAAACATGAGATCAGATTTCATCGTGAAGAAGTTCAGTGGGTTTAAATGAAACACGGAGTTCGGTTTGTGTGTGAAACACGTCAGGACGTTAAAGGAAAACCGGTTCTGATTCCAACAACACAGAATGCAAAGAAAACGATGTAAACATTAAGGTCACATTAAATCTCACAGAGAGCCTTCAGCACGGTTGTGAATTAGTTCTGAGGAACACAGTCGGGGCTTTGGTCAGTTTAATCCTCCCTCAGTGTGTCCACATCCAGATGTGTGGCGGGTCGAAGTCCAGCGTTTGGTTTTCACATTCCAGCTGTGTGTTTGTGCTGAACTGATGTTATTTAAAGGGCTGAAACCAAAGACGCCTTTTAGACTCACCGTGTGTTTGTGTGATCGATGTTTCTGGCCTGAACGTTTTATTTTTGACTTATTTAATGCACAGATTCAGTATTCTATTATTATTATCCTGTTCATGTTGTTCACAGGTATAGACCTCCATAGCAAGCAGCTCACTGGTGTGTTCTATTACATGTATGTAGATTATGTTTCTGTCGTTTTATATATCAGTTTGATGAACTGCAGACTCCACATACGAGACACACAACTGTAGTTACACACAAAACTAATAAATTTATACCACAAAACAGCTGCAGTGTGTCTGTGTGAGTCTGTGTGTGACATGACTGCAACAAACATCTACACTGTTGTAGCAACACGTCGTCAGAGCTGCAGTAACGTATTGATTAGTTTCACTTGATCAGTTTCAGTATGTTTAATAAAAACTCTAAGTTCTGTGGCTGGAGCTTCTTCAGGGAATCTTTTCTGGTTTCTTTCCTCTGCGACAGTAAACTGAACATCTTTGGCCTGAACAACACGTTTGAGGAAACTTTTATGGATCAAACAGCTGATCAGTAAACTGCTGAGCTGATGGTGGGAATAACTGCAGATCAAATTGTTTTAAGTGTGAATGATCCACGATCATATGTTTGTTCTGTATGTAGTTCATCAGATCAGTCTGCAGCAGAACCAGACCTGAGCTTGAATGTAAATGATGGCGTTCCACAGGGTTCTGTGTGAGAACCATCCTGCACGAATCAAGGTCTGTTTGTATGCAGGGCAGCCTGTGATTTATGTTCTCCTCCTGCAGCAGAACCTGTTATTCACTCCAGATGATCAGCCATGGAGCGTCCTTCTGCTGGTTTATATTGATCTTATTATTTAAACCGACTGAACCAAGCTGCTGCTGGAGCTGAAGGTTGAGCAGAGAAAGAAAAGAGGAGCCAGAACTGATCCCTGAGGTACTCTAGTGTTTGAGAATGAACACAGGAGGGTTCTGATAATCAGATCAGCAGATCTGAGGTCAAACAAACTCAACATGATGAAATCAGCAGCGAGAGGTTCTGTAAGAAGGAAGTTTCTGTTGAAACTATAAAACTCGGATCTGATCCAGTTCTGATTTTGTCAAGTTAACCGGCTTCTGTTCGTTCAATCAATCAATCAATCAATCAATCAACCAACCAACCGGCCATGTTCCGCCAGTCCGCAGGAGGCGCTCTTCGTTTTGACGCTCATTCGAACAGACCGGGGACGTCCTCTGCGCATGCTCAGCAGCGGTCGGTACGGATTGACCGTGATCCTCGGAGCCGCTTGTTGTTGTTGTTTTCTCGGTCTCCGGTTGGAACGATGGCCGGCACCGCTCTGAAGAGACTCATGGCCGAGTACAAACGTGAGTGACCCGACTGGAGCCTCCAAGCTCCGGCTGCAGCCCCCGGGACAGCCGAACCAGGGCTAAGCTAACGGCTCCGCTGCTGCACCGAACTCCGTTACAGAAGCCGCCGGTTGAAGGTTTTCTCTGCTCACCGGAGAGCAGCGGATTACCGACAACACACCGACATTTGTGATGAATTTAAGGACGGTGGCTTTTATTCGGCGTGACTTTTCTTCACTTGCAGTTAATCACAGCACCGACAGAAGACGTTTTATATTCAGTAGTGCAGCTCGGCAGCGCGTCCACCGTGATCTCAATGATGTAACTTTAACAGGCGACCTGGTCCACACACACCAGTAATACAGGTGTTTATTTGGACAGAAATATAGATTAGACACCATAGATACGTCAGGAATCTGTGGTGCTACACAGAAACGATGCCAGCTGGCTGCTACTCTGTAAAAATTACGATTTAGATCCAATTTTTTAAAACAGTTTTTAAACGGAGATTTTTGCACAGGAAGCTAACTGCTGTTAGCTAGCAGTCTGGACATTAGCCTGTTAGTTAGTTAGTTAGTTAGTTAGTTAGTTAGTTAGTTGACTAACTAACTAACCTGAGCTGCACCGATCAATCGATCAGCTGATCAGAAGATTGACAGGTTGCTTTGTAACATGTTGACTCTTGTAGTGAGTGATGATAAAACGCAGGTTTTTATTAGTGATTGATTGATTATTGATCCAGTAAACTGATAATGTGATCACATCCTCCTGAGCTGTGTATTGATGAGCGTGTGGTGTTTGTGTTGCAGAGCTCACTCTGAACCCACCTGAAGGCATCGTGGCAGGTGAGACTCACCTGTTCAGTCATTCATCTACAGTTCAGTTCATCAGCAGCCACACTGGCCGTCCATCAGTCAGCCTGAGTCCTTCTGAGTGTCACTAACATGAACAGACGCTTTGTCTTAAGTGATGACATCTGTCTTTAGAAGTGTTTTTGCCTGTATTATCTCCAGTAGAGGCAGACAGGAAGTGGAGAAGAACAGGTAGAGACCTGCAGCCTGTTCATGGGACGCTGTCTGATCCGGCTGAGCTGCCGGGACGACGTCCTCATCATTTAAATACAATCATAACTATGACATCACATCTCATGATTACAGATTATGTGACAGATAACATCTCTGATCGTTTTTAGATCTTTTATTCTTCTATTTAAATCTTTTTACAAGATAAAAATATCTGGACATGATCTGTGGGAAGTTATAAATCTGATATAGTGCGTCTACAGATCTTTTCATGGTGTAATAATAAAGTAGGAATCGAGTAGTTTTAGACCTTTCATATAACAAACTGGATGTTAAAGTGACGACATGGTATCTTGTTAATGAAATATAGATCCTGCACTCTTCAGACAGCCTCTCATATTTAGACTTTGAGGATTATTACAGATTGTTGTCTTACAGGATTATCTTACAGCATTTCCACTGGGGGATCAATGAAGTATTTCTGTTTTGTTTTATTAGGTGAAACATGCTAATCTGGTTATTTTGAGATCGTTTTTCCAGAATTACAAGATCAACTTAAAACTATGATATCTGTACTTTTTGAATCTGAGACCATGATTAGTCATAAATGCAGATCTTCATTATGACTTTAATGTCTTGTAGTTTGACCTGATATTGCTCATCAATTCATCCAGGAAATAATCAGCAGCTTTAAAGTGTTTCTCACGTGAATCAGATCAGATCAGAGTTCTGAACTATGATGAGAGATCAATGTGTCAGCAGGTGTGTTGGCCTAAAGTCAGAGTTTACAGTGTCATGAAAGTCCCTCTCTTTTAACCAGATAGGTCTCCATGGTAACTGATGCTGTGGAGCTAGGTCTCCATGGCAACTGATGCTGTGAAACCTACATGTGTTCAGCTGCTGATGCAGAAATCACATCAGCATGTTTCTATGTTTGGTCCATTTGTTCTGCTGGTCCTGCAGCTGATAGATCACTGATCAGAACATTGATTATCTATTGGTATTTATTACAGAGAACATCCAATCAGGGACATTGATTCACTTTGATTTGTCGTTATTAAAGTGATTTCCTGCCTCATGGGACAGAGTCAGACCTGAATGAGCTTCAGCACGACATCAGGGTTAAATATGTGAGGTTTAA